AGACGTTGAAAACACCAACGAAGATCTCGCCCCGTTTGATGCCAAAGTCGCATCGGGTGAGATTCCTCCTATTCCCAACCAGGTTGGAGCTGCTCTGGCCAACCCTTCTGCCGCAGAGGGCGTGGTGACTCTCTAGAAGAGAGCCCGCCAAAGGCAACGTTAACGCCTTGCGAAACAGTTCGCAAAGGCCATGGAGTCCGTTGACGGGATCCGCTACAACGCGGATCTGAAGAACAATCTGGGAATTCGCAAAAGCGATGGAGTCAACCGACGGAATCCGCTACAACGCGGATCTGAAGAACAGGAGAGGCAAACAGCCTCAACCACCGATGAATGGCAGTTCCTCCAAGCCGCCAACGAGCGAATGGGTCCGGGTCAAACGGAATCGTTCGACGCTTGAGGAGCGCATTCGCAAGCGCCGCGCAATGTCAGCGCATGCACGAGCTCAAGTCCAAGAGGTGGCCAAGAAGCCGCCATCAACCCGTAAAACTTGGAGACCGAAGTCTGAAGCGGCGATTCAGACTAAGGAGCAACAACTGCAGCCTCCGAAAGTTCAACCTCCGGCGAATCAATCCAGACCGCCGATGATTTCCACAACTGCTCCGGGAGATCCCGCAGGACCATCCCAGAAAAGGAAGTCAGTCTTGGAGCGCCTCGGTCCACTTCCCGAGGAGCGAAGCAAAATTCTAATCCAAGGACGTTTGGGCCCACTAAGAAAGCCCCGAACGAATCAACATGATGGGGGTCGCCACAACCCTCAATATGACGAGGAAATCAGGGCAACCAAGCGCACTACTTTGCGCATTGAAGTTCAGGAGCCCATCGAGAATTAGCGCCCACAAAGGCGCGTTTCGAGACGCGTGACTCTCGAAAGTCCGAAGAAGGTAATTCGCTCTCAGAAGGAAAACGTTATTGTCTGGTGATGACTATGACGTTATACCTGAGAAATCGTGCCGACACGCGATAGATTACCCAGACCTTCAAACCGATGAGTTGTACTATCGAGATGGGAGCACGAGGAAAATCAGAAAGAGGAGTCCTCGAGGATTAGAAACTCAATGCCCCTGTTCCAAGCTCATTCAGGCGGTATTGTCTGAGTACAGCTGCATTAGGATGGTCACCGAAAGAGTTTTAGTTTTCGAACGGCTCAGTACCGAAACGCCGAAACCAAGGCTTAGGCGTTTCCGACGAAGGAGAGCGGTAGTTGAAGATGGAGAATTCCCGAAGGTCACCACTAATATGACCAGCAAGGAGACATCGACACAGGTTAATCTCAAGTCGTTTCCGCAAGCATCCCGGCCTATGACCCGTCTACAGTCCGGAACCATCAAGCGAGCAACCTATGGTAGGGTTCGGATAAGACTCCCTTCAGAAGATGAAGAATCTGATGCCGGCTCCGTGGTTGCATCAGATAATACGGTATCCAGCGAGGGACAACCCCGCGAGGCACTTATGATAAGTGCGGAGCAAGTGGCCAAAATGCTTGAAGATGCCTTAGCTAAGCAGCAGGAAACCTTCAGGTTCGAAATGCAGATGGCCATGCAAAACATGAGAGAAATGCATGACCAGCAAATCCAAGCATTGACGAATCAGCAAGGCGAGCCAAGTCGCCGTAACCAGGTTGTTCAGGAAGAGGAGCACACGGATACGAATGAAGCTCACAATGCCAATAATCATCCCGTCAATGCAGGGGGTGGTAATGAGGATGCTAGTCGTAATGCCACACTTCCGCCTCAAAATCGTGC